CCCCAAAACCCCAAAACCCCAAAACCCCAAAACCCCAAAACCCCAAAACCCCTTGAAGAAATAATTTTATAGAAATTTCTAAATAAATTTAAATTTTCTAGAATAAGAAATGGAGAAAGATCCAGCAGCTGTAGCAGGTGGAGGGGTTGTAGTTGAGCTTGACCATGCTATTGGATATTCAGGAAAAATCGTTAATTCTGTCCATCTTCATCCTAATGCGAATGACTATGTCCTTATAGCAGGAGCAAGCATCATTGTTGGGGACATTAACGATCCTCATAATCAACATTTTCTTAGAGGTCATGATGATCAAATCACATGTTTAGACCTTTCTTGTAATGGAAAAATGATTGCATCAGGGCAGAAAGGAGATAACTCAGACATTCTTATCTGGGACTATGAAAGTAAGAAAGCAGTTTTTAGATTATCAGAACATGACAACCAGGTTGATTGCTTACATTTCTCTCATGATGACATGCTTCTCATCTCTTCTGGAGATCAGTTAGATGGGAAGTTGTTTATTTGGGATACTTCAAATGGATATATTGTAACTTCAATGCAGCTTCTTCCCACAGTTATCTCTGAAGCTCCCAACTGTATTAGTTTTGGAGGATTTGTAAAAGATATTAAGCTTAGAGAAACTTCAAGTTATCAATTTGCTACTTCTGGAAGTAAGAAATTGATGCTGTGGTCTCTTGAGCCAAGTACCGGAAACTTAGAATACGAGCTAGTCTCAACAGGAACATTCATTAGAGATTACATCTGATTCGCATTTGGAAAGCCTAAAGAAGAGTATCTCTTTGCAGGAACAAAGAGCGGAGACTTTGTGTCATTCCAGATCAAACATAAACTTCTTGTATTTGTCCAAAATGTTTGTGCTCAAGGAGTCACATGTATTTCAGTAGTTACAGAAGACAAAGTGTGCTGTGGTGGAGGAGATGGTACCTTAGCTCTCTATCATGTTGATGGAAAGTTCTGTCAAGAACTTCTCAAAACAACTCTAGCAGGAGGTATCAACGGCTTATCATCCTCTGAAGATGGAATCCAATTACTTGTCTCTACTGATAGGGGGTTCATTTATAGAGTCAGAGTGTCAGACTTCTCTTGAATGCTCTTAGGAGAAAACCATATCTCTGATGTTTTGCAAGTATCTTTCATGGATGGCATTTCTGATAAGTTTGCAACATGCTCAGAAGACACAACTATTCGTCTTTGGGATTCTAATGACTATTCAGTCTATGCTAGATGTGCTGTTTTGGCTGGAGGCCACCCAACTTGTTGCAGTTTTACTGAAGAAGTAGTGATTTCAGGGTGGTCAGATGGCAAAATCAGGTCGTTCCGAACTGACAACTGTGAATTATTATGGGCGATCGATAATGCACATAAGAACGGTGTTACAACTTTGTGTATCAGCCATAATTTTAAATTCCTTGCAACTGGTGGATATTCCGGAGATGTAAGAGTTTGGGAGATAAGATCAAGAGAACTGATCTCTCATCTCAAAGAGCATACCAGCACTGTTACAAAAGTAGAGGTTCTAGAAGATGATATTCATCTTTTGTCCTGTGCTAGAGATAAAGCAATTTTATGCTGGGACCTCAAGAATGAAAAGAGACTTTCTAACCATACTCAAAGAATGGGAGGAATTAACGGTTTCTCGTTCAATCCAGAGAACCAAAACAAGGTGCTCTCAGTTGGTCAAGAAAGAAAGGTAACTTATTGGGATCTCTCGAAGAGCGAAGCAGAAGGAGTAGTAGATACTTCCTCAAATCCTAGCGAGAGTGATGAACAATTTTCTATTGATATCTCAAAGGATGGAAGATACTTCGTTACTGGAGGATCTCTTGGAATTTTAAGAATCTGGGATTACACGGAAGGAAAAATTGTGAGTGAGCAAGCTGGCCATTCTAATACAATCACCTCTGTAAGCTTCACTCCAGATGGTAAACAAGTTATCTCAACTGGAAGAGATGGACTTGTTCTTGTGTGGAACGTATTCACTTAAAAGGGGAAAGAACAAAATAAAAAGAATTATTTTTATTAAAATCAATTCAAAATTACAAAATTAAAATGGGGTTTTGGGGTTTTGGGGTTTTGGGGTTTTGGGGTTTTGGGGTTTTGGGGTTTTGGGG